CACCCTGTCCACTCCCACCCCACATCCCAGTGGGCTAGCTCACCACCCTGTCCACTCCCACCCCACATCCCAGTGGGCTAGCTCACCACCCTGTCTATCCCCCACCCCAGAGGGCTAGCTCACCATCCTGATGCCCCACACTCCACTGGGCTAGCTCACCACACTGACCCCCACACTCCAGTGGGCTAGCTCACCACCCTGACTCCCTGGATCTGGCCAGACTGCCCTGGCTGTCCTTGTCCTTGCCTAAGGAGTTCAGGTGGCTCATGCCAATAAAGACAGGGGTGGGTAGTGTGAGGAATCCATCTGCAGTCCTGCAGGGCCCTCCTTGACTGCCCAGAGGCCAGAACCAGAGCCCCAGGCTGGAGGCCATAAGGAACTTTTATTCTTTGGGATACCGAAGGCTGGCCTTGTAGGTGACAGGGACATTCTCCTGTACTTTCCCCCAAGCCTTCCCTACCCCTGCAAAAGCAGCAATGCAAGACCGACTCGGGATCGGAGAGTGGTAGAATTGGAGGGGCACGGAGAGAAGGGACTCTGCAGGCCTCTCAGATGCATTTTCTGGAATTCCCTATATTTCAGAACATGAAAATGCCAAAACAGAGTTTGAAAACTTGTGGTATATGTAATGCGTACATCGAGTAAATTAATGCTTTTAACTTGCACAGAAGAACAATGAGGCATAATTGTACTCCTCAGGGAAAATTGTAGGATTGACTCTGACACTAATTTCCAGCGAGCGACAGGCTGCCGGCAGCTGGCTGGACACATTCTCTGCTCCATCCTGTCACTGTGTCACTATGGTAGGAAGGACACTCTTCACCAGAAGAAACATTAAAACTTCAAGTTTCAGGGTCCTTGGAGAATATGAAGCTGGGGTCCTCCGCAAGTTCCAAGGGACCCTGATGGGCCTGGGGGTTGTAGAACTGGACTCAGAATGGTGGAGGGTGGCATTCTTGAAACATAAAATATTGACATCAGGAAGGGCCTCAGAGGTCAGCTACCCCTTAATTTTGTGGAACTCCCTGCTCCCCTGGGTCCTAGCTGCCACTTGCCATTTTGGGACTGGCTGGGAATCTCTCCCCCTCCCTCTGGCCCCCCAGGCCCTCCGCTTTCCGCCTCCTTACTCCTTCCTGGCATTTCCTGGATCCTAGTCTTGGAATGTCTCCTCACTCCGAGCCTTCTCCTCTTCCCTTCTTAACTCCCATCCCTTTTACCCCCAGCTGGTCTTTGCATGCTGTGTGATCTTGGGCCAGTCACTTAGCATCTCTGAGCCTGTTTTCTTCCACGTCACTCCCAATAGGAGTGACATCCCTTATTGCTTGTACCTGCGAAGCTGGCACCTTTATTTTTTCTATTTCATTTTATTTTTATTTTTGAGATGGAGTCTCGCTCTGTTGCCCAGGCTGGAGTGCAGTGACATGATCTCGGCTCACTGCAACTTCCGCCTCCCAGGTTCAAGTGATTCTCCTGCACTCCTCAGCTCCCCAAGTAGCTGGGACTACAGTTATGCACCACCCTATGTTTTTAATGGAGACAAGGTTTTGCCGTGTTGTGCAGGCTGGTCTCGAACACCTGACCTCAGGTGACCTGCCCTCCTTGGCCTCCCAAAGTGTTGGGATTACAGGTGTGAACCATCTCACCCGGCATCAGTTTTTATCTTTTTTTTTTTTTTTTTTTTAGAGGTGGTCTCGCTCTGTCACCCAGGCTAGAGTGCAGTGGTATGACTATGGCTCACTA